TCCCCAGAAGGGTGTGTGTGTGAGTGTGTGTGTGTGTGTGTGTGCGCGCGCACGCGCACGCGCGCGCGCACTTTAAACAATTTTCAGCCAGAGTGGTGGTGGTGGTGATAGTGGGGTGTGTGTGTGCTTTAAACAATTTTCAGCCAGAGTAGTGGTGGCTGTAATACAGGTAATAAATAGTCCCTTAAAAAGAACAAATTAGATGCCAATAGGGATTGATTGAGTGGAGAAGAGATCATGTATTCATTATTCAGTACTACTGTCTGCTAAGCATGGTTCTGAATTCTAGATATTCAGGAATGAACAAGATGCAGACTCAGGGCTCTGAAGCAGACATTCCAGTAGGGGAGAAAGACAATAACGAATGCGTAAAAGACATAGTCAGTTACAAACCAGTGGCCGGGGAGTTGGCGCTAGCTCATGGTAGCTCCCGAGTGTCAGAGTCTCCACAGGGTTGTCAGTAGCCAATTTTTGAAAACAGATCTCCAGACCTATCTTCCAAGACCCTTTTGCATGTATTCAAACCTCCAATGTTTCAATTAGCAACAGAGTGTGTTAAATATTGACATCACCCAAAGAATCTTTTCATAGGCTTATCATAAATATCAAGGAGAACATTAAAACAGGGAAGGTGAATAATAACTATTGGCAAACTGCAATTTGAGACAGTATAGTCTTCAAAGACTCCATTCATAAAGTGACTTTTAACTAAAAATGTGAGAGCCATGCAGACATTGCTCAGGCTAGCCCAGGACCAGGCAGCGTTTCCTTCAGTTGAACATGGAGTCACTATGGGTGGGAACTGACTGAAAGGCACCTAACAGAAACAACAACAACAACAACAACAACAACAACAACGTCCTAAGCAAAAGGGAAAGAAGGATTCTGAGACAGGGACCTGCCTGGCTTGTTGGAGGAACAATAAGACAAGCGGTCTGACTGAAATAGAGAGAGTAACGAACATGAGTGAGTGGGAAAGATGTGACCCAAGGGCAGTAGTGATGAGGGAACAACTGTTGTTAGAGAAAGGAGAAAGACCGACAGCTGAATCATGCAGGGCCCCTGGGAAGGAGAGTGCATATAATCAATGAATACTTCTGCCGTCTTGAAGGTAGCATTTGGTGGTTGAGTGGATCGTAGGAGGAGGAGAGAAGATTCCAAAGTTTCTACCTAGGACGCCTAGGGTAGACTGTGATGCTATTCGAGGGAACAGGAGGAGGAGGAGGAGGTGTTAAGGAGAATATACAGCATTCAGTTGTGTTGTGAGTTTGAGCGTCTGGATGCTGTGCAGAGAATGGTGACCACGGTATGGCAATATGGATCCTGGATGCTGTGCAGAGAATGGTGACCACGGTATGGCAATATGGATCCTGAGCTCAGAAGAGAAGTGAGCTGGAAGTAAAGATTTGGACACAAATACTAGTAAAATCCATAAAAGTGCATGAGAGTGATAGCTCATATTGTATTTCAGAATATGAAGGAACAAGGAATGGAACCAGGGAAAATACTAATATTTACAGCTAATATTTAAGGGTATGGTAAGAGACCAGTTAAGGCCTCCTAACAGTAAGTGGAGTGGGGAGAACACTCAAGAAACCAAGAGAGCAGTCCTGTTCTGTTTCACCCCATATCTAGTGCAGTGACTCTCAACCTGTGGGTCGCACCCCCTTTGGGGTCAAACGACCCTTTCACGGGTCACCTAAGACCATTGGAAAACACATATCTCCTCCATCCATCTCCAAGCAGGTCCGCCCACATGCAGATACGCCCACATACGAGGCCCCGGTGTGAAGACTATTAGCCATGCTACACCATGCTTCAAGACAAAATTTCATTTATTTGTCATTAGAACTATTTCACAATATATAATTACATATCATTTTTGTGATGAATCACTATGCTTTAATGATGTTCAATTTGTAACAATGAAAATACATCCTGCATATCAGATATTTACATGACAATTCATGACAGTAGCAAAATTACTATTATGAAGTAGCAACAAAAATAATGTTATGGTTGCTGAGGAACTGTATGAAAGGGTCACGGCATTAGGAAGGTTGAGAATCACTGTGACTTCCACAGAATAAGCAAGCTAGTCATTCTAGTGTCACTTGATCAATTCACCAATCCACTCACTGCCATCGACTCAGTTCTGGATCGTAGTGACCTTATAGGATAGGGCAGAACTGCCTGCCCCAGTGGGTTTCTAAGACTAACTCCTCATGGGAGTAGAAAGCCTCTTTCTCCTGCAGAATGGCTGGTGGTTTTGAACTACTGACCTTCCAGTTAGCAGCCCAACTCATAGCCCACTATTTCACCAGGGCTCCAAGTTACCACCAGTAGCACATGTTGGCTGGGCTGCTAACCACGCAGTCAGCAGTTCAAAACCACCAGCTGCTCCATGGGAGAAAGATGAGGCTTTCGAGGCCCATAAAGAGTCTTGGAAACCCACAGGGGCCACCCTGCACTGTCTTTGGGGGTGGCTACGAGTCGTTGACTTGAGGGCAATGAGCTTGAGTTTTGAGCCTTCAAGGCCAAAGGGATTATAAACTCTGGATATAAAACCTCCTCTCTTTTCAAAATGCTTTTAGTTTGATCCCCTTGTCTACCTTCCCCCCTCATCCTTGAATCAAACTTCATCTTTCTTTTCCACCCATTTTCTTCTCCCCTTAAATGGCCATTTCTTAGCTCACACTGGCACTCAGAGATACACATTTTTGATCTCTGGTTTATTTCTTAGTTCGAGAAACACATTTAGCCACACAGATCTAAATCAATATTTAGCAGACACCAGCAAAATGTCTGCAAACACAATTTTCCACTCATTCCTTGTTGATTCGGGGTTGTTTCCCCTGTCCTTCACACATGCAGTTCATTATGTACCAATTCTACTTGGAAAAATAATGCTTCAGTAATTATGTGGTATCATGACCAGCATTCTTGAACATCAGCCTATGCAATGTGATGAAAATAAAAGTGTTTGAAGAGGGATTAATTCAGTAAAGTGCAAGGGCCAGATGGACAAGATCAGAGACTTGACCCTGCTGGAAGGGTGAGACATCATCTGACCCTGTAGTTGTGAGACCTGGAAAACCTACACACACACACACACACACACACACACACACACACACACACACCACACCACACCACAGTAACTGAGCCCTAGTGCAGACATGTTAAAATAAATCAGGATCTCTGGGTATGATGTCCTAGCATTGTCTTTTATTATTAGTAGTAGTAGTAATCGTAGTATTTTCAGTATCAGTGATCCACAGAAATCCACATTTCTTTGTAGTGGGGAAGTCAGTGAAATCAACATGTCTTAAAAGCAAGGACCATGTGTTTTAATGGCACCGGGTTGCCATTTGTCCCATCAGCTTTGGGTACATCCCACCACGCATGACCCTTGGGTTGTCAGGACCGATCCAAACCTGCTCTCACTCCCTTGCTCTCTGGTGTTTGCAGTGCCTGCAGCTGTGACCAACCTGAGGATCACAGAGAATTCCACTGGACACCTGTCCTTCAGCTGGACCACCTCGGAGGGGGAGCTCAGCTGGTACAACATCTTCCTGTACAACCCAGATAGAACTCTCCAGAAGAGATCTCAGGTTGAGCCACACATTCAGAGCTTCTCTTTCCGGAACTTGCTCCAAGGCCGGATGTACAAGATAGTGATTGTAACTCACAGCGGAGAGCTGTCCAGTGAGTCTTTCATATTTGGCAGAACCGGTAAGACCCAGTGGTGGGCAGTCGGGAACAGCCAGGGAATTGTCTCATGTTCACTGGCTTTCCCTTAATTTGTCCATCGTTTCTGATGCTATCCAGTGTGTAGCTTTATAGGAACTGTGTGACCTTCAGGGTCTGGGGTCCCCAACTCAACCTTCGGTTATATGTAGGAATCGGTGGTGACCATCGTTTGCACTGGCTTCACTTGCTTTGCTGGCATGGACTCCATGGATGAAGCAAACGGCTAAATGTTCAACGAACCCAAAGATTAGTAGGGGCCTGACCCCGTGCAGAGGTGCCTCAGAAGAAAGGCCGGGGGTCTGCTTCTTCACGGTCACGTCCATGAACCCTTATGGACCAGTGCTGCTCTACATCCTTTGGGATCACTCGTGCAACGCAGGCCTCGTGGGGTTCGAGGAGCCCTGTTGGCGTAGTGGTTTCATGTCGGGCTGCAGTTCACAAGGCCAGTGGTTCAAAACCACCAGCTTCTCCTCAGGAGAAAAATGGGGCTTTTTACCCCCATTAACTCTTAAGTCTTGGAAACTCACAAGGGCAGTCCTACTCTGTCCTATAGGATTGCTATGAGCCGGCACCGTCTTGATGGCAGGGAATTCAGGGTTTTCTGGTCATGGGGTTTGATGACAAGAACTCTGCTTCCTCTGGTTGCTGGCCCCTCGCTTTCTAAAGGGAAGTAAAAAGCACAGCAATAACTCTAGACCAGACAAAGAATGGCCTGTGTGTTACTGCTTTTCAGGCCGCTGGCCCTCTGGATCCCTTCTCCTCCTTGCTAACTTATTGATATGTAAATGTCCTCCCACCCAAACACCAATAACTTAGGGTACAGTTGTCTTCAATTTCCAATAGTCTCCACACCTACAGTGTGACTACCTTGATACACTGGTAGACAGGGCTGTTAACTCTCCCTTTCCAAAATGAGGTTGGACCAATGTATGTTTTTATAAAGGGGCCCCTACAGAGCAGAGCCAACCTGGGAGGGCCTGTGATGAACTTTTCCAGGGCCTCTTACAATAAGCTAAGAGAGAAACTGGCCTGCCCAGCAGTAATTACTCCTGAAGGAAGGTTTCATTATATGTGTTTAGCAGAGCAGATGTAGCAAGCACATAAAAGCCACTGGCTAGTGTGTTTCACTTAAGTTTAATTTATTCCACGTCTCAAGAGATAAAACACTTGGCCCTAAGCTTCTGTAGCCTACAACACAGGGGCAAGACCTGACTTGACAATTCATTTATCTACTGAAACCACCTCATGTTTTCTAGCCAATCCCTTTGTTGCCGTTTTGTTCTCAGTCAACGTTTTTCCTTCCATTTTAGTCCCAGCCTCAGTGAGTAACCTCAAGGGGTCCAATCGGAACATGACGGACAGCCTGTGGTTCAGCTGGAGTCCAGCGTCTGGGGACTTCGACTTTTATGAGCTGATTCTCTACCACCCCAATGGCACGAAGAAGGAAAACTGGAAAGACAAGCACCTGACCGAGTGGCGTTTCCACCGCCTGGTTCCCGGACGAAAGTACACACTGTGTGTGATAACTCACAGTGGGGATCTCACCAACAAGATCACCAGCGAGAGCAGAACGGGTAGGCCGCTTAGTTACTGATGGCCAACTGATCACAGTAGTGGCCAGAAATAAAATCAATAATGACAGGTTATACCACCCCAGGGCTTGGGGAGGCCCAGTGGTACCGTGAGTGCTGGACACAACCTTTGGTCAGAAGCTCTAGGTGAAGCTGGGAAAGCTCGTAAGCACACAAAGCCTCACTGTCATCTTAAAGGAAGGGTCATCGTGCCCCTGAGTACGATGTCTTCTTAGGTGCAGTGCTTCCTAGTCATCTGTGTGTCTCGGCATGCGTAGGGAGTATTCATATCTGTGTGTTGTACTGTGTGCATCGATGAGCAAGGCTATCTACGCCTGGACATCAGGGCCTGTGAATTCAACTCTTCCACCCCCAATCTGAGTCAACACTTCCACACACTGGGGAATTGAGGACAAAGTACATTTTTAAAATGTGAGGACATGGTGTTGCACTTGCTACACATTCTCCAAATGGAGGGCCCCATATTATCTCTTGACACAGAGCCTATGAACAGCACGTCTGGCTTCACTCAGCCACCCTTATTTGCTTATGTCATAACATGGATGTAATTTCCCCCCTTTCTCTTCCATATAGCCCCAAGTCCTCCCAGCCTTATGACATTCGCTGATGTGGCAAACACGTCCCTGGCTATCACGTGGAAAGTGCCCCCGGACTGGACAGACTACGATGACTTTGAGCTGCAGTGGTTCCCCAAAGACGCCCTCACTGTCTTCAACCCCTACAGCAGCAGAAAGTCTGAAGGACGCATTGTGTATGGTCTTCACCCGGGAAGATCCTATCAATTCAGTGTCAAGACTGTAAGCGGCGATTCCTGGAAAACCTACAGTAAACCAATTTTTGGATCCGTGCGGACAAGTATGACAAGCTTTGTCACTTGGGGGTTTCAGTTAGAGAGACAGGAAGTTATGGGTTGCCACATCTTGTTCTTGGTTTAAATCTACATTTTTACTTGAGATGAATTGGATCTAAATTTAGGCAGAAGCTTACAGAGACTTGCTCATTCATTCATCATTAACAACAATTAATAAAACAGGAATAATCTCTATCCTCATGCAGCTTATAAAGAGGTGGGAGATGCTATTATTAAACAGTTCCACTTGATGAAGGAAATAAATGGTTCTGTGGAAACACTTGATAGAAGCATCTAATTCAATACGAGTGGGACTTCCTTGAAGAAGAAACCTCTATGTCAAAACTTAAAGAAAGAGTAGACGTCATCAGATGGTAGAAAAGAAAGCAATGGAGACTCATGCAGGGGGAGAGAATAAAACAGTTCAAACCCCACGGAAAAGTGAAAGATCTGTTAAGAGAGGAGCAGAACGAAGTTCAATTGATCAGAGATGGGACATGGAGGTGTTAAGTAACTTGTCCAAAAATTCATCACAACAGTGCACAAAAAGAACCCACAGTAAGTGGCATTTGAATCCAGGAAGACCAAGCTGTATTTAAACAATCACATTACCCTGCCTCGCCTTCTATCTGATGTCTGCCACTCGATTCCAGTGTCCATATGTGCCCTGGAGTCTCTAATCATACTGGCCCCTGGTGACCAAGAAAGGGAAAGCATTTGACCTCTAATCTCCAGCTTCTCCCAGTGGCGCCTGGCAGGCAGGAATTCCCTTGGGAGGCCCACAAGAAAAAAAAAACCAATCCAAATGAAGTTTGAGAACATTTAGTTAGGACTTAGAGGGAGGTAGACCACAGGAGCTGAGAACAAATCTAGCTCATGAAGTTCCCGTGTCGCTTCCTCTCTTTCTCCTAGAGCCGGACAAAATACTGAACTTGCACTGCCGGCCTCAGAACTCCACTGCCATCGCCTGCTCCTGGATCCCTCCCGATTCGGACTTTGATGGGTACAGCATTGAGTGTCGGAAAATGGACACACAAGAAGTTGAGTTTTCCAGAAAGCTGGAGAAAGAAAAATCTCTGCTCAACATCATGATGCTAGTGCCTCACAAGAGGTACCTGGTGTCCATCAAGGTGCAGTCGGCCGGCATGACCAGCGACGTGGTTGAGGACAGCACCATCACAATGATAGACCGTAAGCATCCCGGGATGTCCACACCCCTCTCGGTCGGTCGTACCCACCACCACTCGCCAGCTGCCCCCCCGGCTCCATTTCACACTGGGAGTCTTGTTGCTCCTTGCAGACCAGGGTCCCACATCCTCCCTGACATGGAGACAGCTCTCAGTGTAAAGTACCCCGGCAGCAAACAAGGCAAGTGATGTTAAAGTACCAGAATGAGAGGATTTAAATCCATCACTTTGCCTGATATACCTCGGGCGATAATGGAGCTTGTAAGCCATTTAAAGCAGCAACTGCAGGATATCCTGCTGAGGAGCTGCCTCGTTCACCGTGCTTACGGTGCCCCTGGCAAGCCACTTCCTCGGCTGCTTCCCTTCAGGAGAGGGGGAGGAAGGTGTCTTGATTACGATCGTTAGACACACACGTGCACACACTCTCTCTGTCTGATGTGGGCGAGTGGAGAATTTCATTTCACCCACTGTTGTTTATCACCTGAAAGCAGAGTTGTGACCTCTCGTGGTTCCTTCCCCACCCACTTGTCCAGGCCCCCCTCCGCCACCTCCACATATCCGTGTGAATAAAAAGGATGTGCTAATTAGCCAGTCCTCCATCAACTTCACTTTCAACTGCAGCTGGTTCAGTGACACCAATGGAGCCGTGAAGTACTTCACCGTGGTGGTGCGAGAGGCTGATGGTAAGTTTCCTGAACTGACTCTGCTGTTAGATACAGGACTGCTTTTTCAAGGGCTCTCCTTCAAATTCTTAAGAGGAGAAAACTTACTTTTTGTACATACCATTTAGATCCCTCTGCTGAAAGCAATGTGATGTAACAAGAAATTGTTCAAAGGCTCTTTAAGTAGTAATAAAATACTATCTGCTAGGCTTACTGGTTACGTGAGAAAAGAATAACGATAGGAACCACAGTGATCACAATAAAGGGGTCTGGGCATCCCTACCACGGGCCAGGCACCGTTTGAAATTCACTCCACTTCTTGCTCGTTCAGCCTTCACAATAACCCTGTGAGGACAATGCCAATATTTTTTAATGAATCAGGACCTAAAGCACAAAAATATTAAGTCATGTAGTCAAAGTAACAAAGCTTGTAGTTAGGTGGAAACATTATAAACTGCTTGGATTACATCTCCAATACCTCAACCAACCACAGTCCCAAACCACCCCCCAATTCACACAAACACGGAGGAAGCATTAGGACGATCATGTAAGGTACCCCTCCTTGTCTCTACTGAATGTTGAATCGTTTCACTTGCTAGTTTCCTCAGTGACTCAACATTTAATTCCATACGGAGCCAATACTAGGTAATAAGAACAGCATGCTATTATAACCCGTGAATCTGCCCGTGAGAGTGGATTGTGTTGGCATTTGTCAGCTCTCCTACGGCAGTTGTTTTTGAGGGGCCAAACCCCACTGTCATCAAGTCAGTGCCAACTCATAGGGACCACATGCCTACAAATGGACTTGCCATTCAGGACTTGTGCATCATGTCACCAAAAGAGAGCCGTGAGTCGAATGGCATTACTCACGTTCCACCTTCCTTATATTTCTCAAAAGTGTTTAGTGGGTTGTACATGAGTTTCTTAAGCATCTCTGATCCCCTGGACCCATTTGTGGGCAAGGGGGAAACTACAAGTCTGGCCAACAGCAAAATAATCTCAACACAAAATTGTGTTTTAGTTTCATGAAGTATCTAACAGTCCATGTGCTTTTAAATGTTATTTGACTTTAACAAGCTCAGTGGTTCTCAACCTTCCTAATGCCACAACCCTTTAATATAGTTCCTCGTGTGGTGGTGGCCCCCAACCATAAAATTATTTTCATTGCTACTTTATAACTGTAATTTTGATACTGTTATTAATTAGGCGATCCCTGTGAAAGGGTCATTGGACCCCTATCACAACCCACAGGTTGAGAACCGCTGACCAAGCTAGTAAATCATTAATAATGGCCGAGGTCAGCTGTGTAGCCCAGATTGCCTCACACCTCATAATTGGAGATAAATGTGTGAACTGTGGAGTTGTGATTTAGTTAGGCTGTGATAGGTTTTACCTAATGAAAGGGGGAGCTTCAAAATGTGCGTGAAAAATTTTTCATGTATTTTCATTCTATTTTTTAATACACTCTTTGAGGCCCCCCTTGTATAAGGTAGTGGCAAAGAATAAATCATTCATCTAAGTGAAGTGTCAACTAAGGCCACATAGAAGAAGCACACCAGCCTCTGTGTCCCCAAAAGGGACATGCTACTCTTTCATAATAAATGTCTACCACCTGTCTGAGTCCTCATTATGTAAGCATCATGGATTAGATTATGCACCACACCCAGACAGGTCGGCTAACATCACAAAGGGGTCTTCCTGGCCTGCCCAGTCCCTACACAAGAGGCACCTCATTGGTATAAACCCTCAGGTGTAGTCTGGAGACCACACCCAAAAAATGCAACCCCTGAGCAAGTCCCAAGGTCTCTTAGGAATCAAAGGCAATGATCAAACTTGAGGAAGAAAGTTAATGTAAGGCCCACACCAAGTCTTACTCATTTTGAGCCAATTTTATTAAACAAGAGTTCAAAATACAGCAATGAGCTCCTATAGTACCCCTCCTTGAAGTTCATTGTGAGTGGTATCTTATCCCTATAATATTTATCTTCCTAATTGTGCTTTCCTTCAGCTAACATCAAAACTAGCTTGCAGTGCCAAAACACACAGTGGGCTGAAGTGGATGGGAAGAGTTCTGGGAAGTGTTCTGAAAGATGGGCCAAATGCAAGCCAGGGTAAACTGCACTCAAGATAACAGGGAGCTATGTTCAGAGCAGTGCTCTGACTGGACATGTGGAACGTGCCTTGCAGGGTGCACTGCTCTGGCCTGGGACATGGTTTCGCTTATCTTTAACCTGCTTCCCAGGTCAGAGAGATTTCCTTATTAGCTCAGCTACAATGGTTGTTGGCAAGGTAGAGTGCTTATCCAAATGCCTGGCGTCAGGGGACGTCTTATCATTTGTTTGGTGCAAGAAGTTGCCCTCCCTCTTCCCCGTATATATACAGATACACACACACACTGCACATTTTGTGTCCTGGAAAATGATGATGATCATAACAATGCTGATGCTGTTGATTAGTGTGTGTGTGTACGTGCATACACACGATAGAACAACTCTATAGAATTTCTATTGGTGGGACTCTTGTTTTCTATTTTAATAAACTATTTTATGGGCACCTAAATCCACATCAGGGCATAATCCTTATGCGTATATATTCCCAGGTCTTTTGCCCACAGAGCAACTGGATGGGTTTGAGCTACTAAACTTAAGGTTAACCACCAAGCACTTAGTCGCTGTGCTACCAGCGCTGTGTGTGTGTATTCTTTATGTCCATGTCAATGAAAATTGATTAAGTGAAGGGAATTTCCCAGTAGCATTTTGATGTCACAGAACCTGTACTGCTCTGAGGCGCCCTGGTGGAGCAGAGGTTGAGCTGCGACCTTTAGTGGGTCAACTGATCAAAACCACCGGCAGCTCCAGGAGAGAAGGGCTGGGATACTCCCCTAAACAGTTGGGGGAAGTCTCCACGAGTCAGCCTTGACTCGATGGCAAGCGGAGGTCTGCTCTGAGGCTAGGCTAGAGATAGCAAGTGAGGAGGAGGCAGCTTTCAACACCCGGTTCGCCATCACGGAAGCACTGCAGTCACAAGCGGGTCCCTGGTGTCCTCTCCCCAGGCAACGATGAGCTGAAGCCAGCACAACGGCACCCTCTGCCCACCTACCTGGAATACCGGCACAACTCCTCCATTCGAGTCTATCAGACCGATTATTTTGCAAGCAAATGTGCTGAAAGTCCCGACAGCAACTACAAGAGTTTTCACATTAAGCTTGGAGCAGAGATGGAGAGCCTGGGTGGAAAATGTGATCCAAATCAGCAAAGGTTTTGTGACGGACCACTGAAACCTCGCACTGCCTACAGGTGAGATGTATTGCCGTCATTTTGCTAGCAGAGACAGACCTGTTCCGTCACTGGGCGCTAGGCTACCTGGACATCTGATGTGCATGAGCGTCTGTAGATTAATGACATCAATTCACAGGCAGTGTGTAAACAGGCTCTTCAGGGTATAGCAATAGCTGCGGTTTATTATGTGAAGAAGAGATGGAAGATTCTTAGCCTATGGCTCTTTCTCCTACAACTTCTTTAATAGGGTTAAAATCAATTGTTATGTTAACTGCTGTGGGGATGTCTGGGGAGAAAGACTAAGTTAGGCAGACAGGAGCAATGTTAGGCTGGGTCGTCCACTTTCAATGAGTACATGAATTACTTATTTGTTTTGGTGGGATCAAATTATTTATTTATTTTGGTGGGATCAAAAGAAAAAGCACCCAGCAGTCCACTTGCAGCTCTTGGAGCGAAAGGGACATCCTTTCCTCCTCCTAGGGTGGCAGGAGACAAGGAGCTACTGTTTGGCCAAAGCCACAGCCAGCCCTGCTGCATGCAACAACCCTCCCAGCCCTAGGAAATGGCTGTGTTCTTGGTCTGCACTGTGCTCCCTCAAAGCTAGCTCAAGCAGAAGTCCCCAGCATCCCCAACTAGGTCCACGAGAGAAAGAAAACCTGGCAACCAGCTTGCATATAAGGCTACCGGTGTCCAAGCTGATCACGGCTCTGGAGGATCTGCCATCTGTGCAGGGTGTTGACAGAGCTGGTGTACAGCCAGTATCACAGCCAACTGGGATCCCGCTGGACCAGTGTCTATGGTGCTTGGTCCCTGCCCAGGACGTGGGTCTCAGCCCCAAACCATTTCTGTCCGAGTCCTCAGGAGTCTCTGACATGGCCCCACACCTGGGAGACTCCTTTGCTGCTCCCTCCTAGCAACAAGGATGAGCATGTGGTTTTACGAAGAACTCTGACGAGATCTGGCTGCCCAGGACTCACCGTGCACTGGCTACTGCCACCCCAGCTGAGGTGAGACCTTCTGAGTAAACACCTGCACGCTTATGAGTGGTGTTTACTTCAAAAGGGACCCTAGGAGCCTATGTTCTGGAAGGAAAAATAATGAGTGTCAGAGTCGCACTGTGCTCATTAGTTTCCAAGGCCTGTCGTTTCAGAAACAGATCACCAGGCCTTTGGGGTCCCCCTGGGTGGACTTAGACCCCCAGCCTTTCCCTCAGTAGCTGAGCACCTTAGCGATTTGCTCTTCCCAGGGATATTGGCTATATGAAGATGGTGAGGTCTCTGAGAGAGCAGAGGAGGCACCTGAGGGAAATGGGCCCCCTGGGGCCCTTCACACCTGTAAAGCTGGGAATCGCCCACCTCTTCTGTGTGTTGGGCTCAATGAAATTGGAGCAAGAGTCTGTGAAGTACAGCTCGGTCTTTCTGGTTAGGAAGTCGCCACTATGTCCATGTGTTTGCTTGCTTGCTTTTGGCGAGGCAAAGAGAGGCATGGACTCGTGACTATATTGAAGTGAGAGAGTCAGGAGCTGTAGAAGGTTCACATCTGGACCAGAGCCCACCAGCGTCCCAGCAGGCACCCGCCCTGCCCCTTTCAGCTGCCCAGGTGCGGTGGAGAGTGCCTGGATTTGTGTTCTGGCTCTGGTGCTCTTTTGTATGGCGCGATTTTGTACACAGCATTTCTATTCTCAATGCTCGCTTTTTTGGATCTGCCAACCCGTCTGGCATTGTCCTCAGGAGTGATGTCTGCGATCCATCAAACCGAGTGAGGTCCCTTTCAGATCAAGAGTGTCTGAGAGATCCCACGCACTTACAGAAGCAGGTCCAGATTCCTGAGCTGAGTACACAAAGCCCTCGAGCTCTCCCTTCTGCCTCCCTCCGCAGCCTCCTCTCCCACCATCTGCCCCAAGAACTCCCTGCCCTTTTCCTAGTCTTCCATCCTCAGAGTTCCCTTGAAGGAGGGTGGCTCTCTCAGACTTTCTATCTTGGAGCATTTGCATATTCTCTTCTTTCCAAAATGGGATGGCCTCCACTTCCCCGCCTAGCTGGGGAAGTCCTCCTTACCTTTTGATAGCCAGCCCAGTCCTCACGGAGCCTTCCACCACATCCACGGCCACCCATGCCACGTGCACCCAGCCACTACACCCCTCTACAGCTGCATTTACCAGGGACTTTTAAGCCTTTGGGTAATTGCTTGCCCCCTTCACTAGACTGAGAGAGCTAGGAGGGGAAACAGCCCTGTCATTGGCACCAACTATTTGACACCAAAGAAGCACTCATTAAATGTTGCATGACCAAGGTGAGAGTCAAGGTGCTCTAGGAAAGGTACACATCCTTCTCATAGCTTCATCAGCTCGTGCCATGCATAATTCTCTTCTAGAACAAAGATGTACTTATACATTTCATTCAACCTGTTAAACACATGCCGGGCAGATGATGCTTGCTAAGAAGGGTGCATGCTTTCCCTGCGCATGCGGAGGGGCCTCTTGTGTGGTGGCCGCTGAACTCTGCCTGGGCAACATCAGACTGCTGTCTGTCTCTAGGGGACCGTCACAGCGATCTTCACCTGCTATCAGTCATGGCTGACCCAAAGAGAACAGGTAGACAGGACAGAGCAAGGGAAAAGTGAATTGGAAAGGAAGGAACATTTGGGAACAGCTAGGTTTAGCTGAGAGGCAAGTTTATGATGACAGTAAGTGTAATGTTGTCCCATCCATTGTTGGATGACCAGTGGCCCTTGTTGCATAGGGAAAGAAAAGGTGTGAACCGTTCTGGGTGGGAGGCAGTGTGGAAGTTAGGAAAAGGTGATGTGGTTGTGTTTCCATTGTAAATAGAACAGCAACGTGACCACTGTCAGGAAGGCAGCTTCTCCGGACCTCAGCTTCCTTGAATGCAGGAAATGCAACCGTGACCTCTAACTTTGTTACAGAATTCTGACCCCAGACACATTCTAACTCTTGTCCAACACACGATACTTGTTCATTAGAATAATACTTATCATGCTGATGACAAAAAATAAAACAGCCAATGCATGTTTTATTGCCTCCTCTGTGGAAAGCACCGAGTCGGGTGCTGTGGGAGAGAGAGAGATGAACAAGGTGAGAGCCCTGTCTTCAAGAACATGTGACGTATGGAGAGAAAGGAGACCTGTATGTGAAATAGAGTCAGAAATACGAACGACCTCAGAGGTACAATGTAAATCAATTCTGTGAGGGTTCAGAGGTTTCATGGAGGAAGTATTGTTTTAGCTAAGCATTAGAAAGTATAGAAGGCCTAGGTTTATACCAAGAAGAAAGGAAAACAAGAACTCAAATAGATACTTAGACACTAATGTTCATTGCACCACTATTCGCTAAGTGTCCACCAACAAGATGAATGGTACATAGATACAGCAGAATATTACCTACCCATAATTTTATCCAAGAAAAGAAGATCGATTAGAAATGAAGTTGTCATACAATCTGGTAATGTCCTATCTCTCTTCTCTGGGCTTTCCCACTACTCCTTCTGCTGCACCCTGTCGCAAGCTGGGCTATGAGGGCATCTCTACTTGTGCATTGCGACCTTCTCACTTTGACTGGTGCTGTCTGCCAACTCTTCCCTCTGTCTGGGATGCAGCCACACTCCCCGCCTCTCCTCACATTTCTGTGTAAAGATCAAGGAGACAGACCTTCCCTCACCATGTGAATGAAGTCCATTGCTTCAAGTCCCCTTACCAGGTGCTTTTCTGTGATAATACATATCACTGTGATTTATCATCTGTCATCTTCCATGACTGGGCTGGCTCTCTGAAAGGGTAGGGACTTGTTCTATTCCTTACAGTGTCCCAGCTCCTGGGGCACAGTATAAGCTCAATGAAAGCCAAGAATTGAATGAATGAACGGGTTGGTAGATAGCTGAATAAGTAAACTCGTGTGTCCAATTCCATAATTGGTGTCCTATACTACGTACCCTCTGGCTAGGTGCCCACCATGCTTCTGCCCAAACTGTGATTTGTCACTTAAATAAATAAATTTTTTTGTCTTTTCAGAATCAGCATTCGGGCTTTCACACAGCTATTTGATGAGAATCTGAAGGAATTCACAAAACCACTCTATTCAGACACATTTTTCTCTCTGCCCATCACCACGGAGTCAGGTAAGGTGCACCTGTCCCATCACCCACACGTTGTACCAACAATCACGTTTAACTAAAAGACCTCTAGAGAGGCGATCTGGTGACTGAGCTAAGGGCGATAGGGGCATTGGTTTTCCATCTGGAATCTAATCTTCATGTATCATGGATAGATGTGAATCAGAGATTGAGCAGCTTCTGTCAGAGAAAGAACTGGGAACGGGTTCATCTGGAAAGAAGATAGAAGTACAACATCTTTTAATAAAAGTAAATTAGTTTAAAATGGTGAGTGAAAAATACTACAATCAAGAGCTTGTATAGGCCAAAATATAAATTCACCCAAAAAGTTTATTAATTATAAGGAGGAATGGACATATAGAAATGTATCCACATAGAACTGCATCCAAAGACTGAAAAATAATATTAGCAAGTATCAGTACAAAATAATAATGAATACAATTAAAGTATTCACAATGAACATAGTGGTGAGTGCTTTTACACTAGACAAAAATGTTAACATAAAAAACTACATACATTTACGAAAGAAATCTACAGTAGAACAAAGGGCAAGTCCAAGCAATCATGATCACTCATATGTAACAAAAGGGAAAAAAGATAAATTGGGCCTCATCAAATTTTTAGATGTTTATATTTCAAAAGACACTATCAAGAAAATAAAAGACAATCCATAGAATAGGAGAGAAATTCCCAAATCATATTTCCTTTAAGGGGCAAGTATCCAGAATATATAAACTAACAAATAATAGTAAATAACTAAGCAAGCTATAGTTTCAATGAGCCAAGGACATTTCTCAAAAGAAGATCTACCAATAACCATAAACCAAAATGAAACCCTCTGCCATCATGTTGATTCCAACTCATAGTGACCCTGTGTTCGGAGACTGTAGGTAGCCTCATCTTTCTCCCGAGAGGCAGCTGATGGGTTTGAACCACTGACCTTGTGTTTTAGCTGTCCAACATTTACCCAACAGCTCCCCCAGGGCTCCTAATGACCAAGAAGCACACGGAATGATGCTCAACATTGGTACTCGTTCAGGAAATAAAAGCAAACCCACACGAAGGTACCACTGCACACCCACTGGAGTGGCCGTAGTTTAAAAAGGCAGGCAATAACAAACATCGACAAAGAAGTGAAAGAGTGTGGGATCTTCAGAAACTGCCAGTTCGCTGTCATCGAGTCCATGCCGACTCACAGCAACCACATAGAACAGGGTGGAACTGCCCCTGTGAGCTTCCGCCAGTGTTGCTGTTCAAGGGAGTAGAAAGCTCCTTTGGAAAAGCGTTTTGCAGTTTTGCACAGAGTTACCATATGCCAGAGAAATGAAAATGTCCCACAAAAACTCATTCAGAGCAACATTGTTCAGAGTAGGCACAAATTTCCATGAATTGCTGAACGAATAAATGTGGTAGATCCACACAATGGAATACCAGCCCACATAAAAGAAGGCAGTCAGGGGCTTAAGTGGAGAGCAAATGTTTTGAGAATGATGAGGGCAGTGAATGTACCAATGTGCTTTATACAATTGATGTACGTATGTATGGATTGTGATAAGAGTTGTTTGAGCCTCTAATAAAATGATTTAAAAAATAAAAACAAAATACATGAAAAGAGAAAATTTTGAAAATAGTATGCTAGGTGAAAGAAGCCATTTATAAAAGACCACAAATTACATTAAAACATCCTTATGAAATGTCCAAAATAGACAACTTTATGAAGACAGACCTAACTGAAACAACGAACTCCTCTGCTAATGATCATGAAGCGGGCAGAGAATCTCACCATGCTTTGTTCTAGCATATATTAGACGGCCAGCACTTGTAGCCAACTCAGTGGCGACAAATAACAATAGAAAGACACAAAGTCGATGAGGGCTTGCCCAGGGTTAGAAGGACTGAAAGGAAACGAGGAATGACGACGAAGAGTATGAGGTTTCTTTGGTGGGGAAATGGGAATATTACAAAGTTGATTGCGGTGCCGGTTGCAAAACTTTGTGACGATTCTAAAAACCCTTCAAGTATACCATTTAAATCGGTGAATTACGGTCAGGTATGTGTGAATTATTTTTCAATAAGGCAACTAGAAAAATGGGTTACTCTGTTCCCTCCTTCAACTCCCAGTGGCTGCATCATACCAGATAATGTGATTTCTTTTTAAATAACTTGCAGCCAACCCACTGGATTTGCCAAAAGCCCAGATGCTGTGTGACACGTTTTATAAAAATGACATAGCATTTTTATTTTGATGGCAAACAACATGTGCTCCATCCTAAATACTGGCCTTTCTCTCAGATGCCCCAAGCTTTATAAACAAGCACCGAAGAAGTCCAACAGCCCTGTGTCAGTGAGACCCCATTAACTTAGAGTATAAGGACAGAAGTGTAGAGTATGATGGGCAGTAGCCCAGGTTCCATCGTTATCAGTTGCCTGGCTGAGCTGTTGGATGGCCATTGCTTCCTTCTCTGTGGCCTGACTTAGAGGCTGTCTGTGCCTGCCAGCGTGCTCCTTGGAAGAGAGGGTTTCGGTTCTTTTGTTTTCCCACCTGGATTTTGTTGTTTCCCCCATTGCTGCAGAGCCCTTGTTTGGCGTCATTGAAGGTGTGAGCGCCGGGCTGTTCTTGATTGGCATGCTGGTGGCTGTTGTTGCCCTTTTGATCTGCAGGCAGAAAGTTAGGTGAGTACAAAGGCCCCGTTTGTGATGCAAATGAGAACATCCTTTAGAAAAGCCAATGGCAAGCTCTAAACCCCGGACTCCTTATGCCTTTGATGAAGTTTGCTTTTACAAGGAGACCGAGGAGCCTCTGCAGCTTCATTTGGATGGGAAATAACACCTTTTGCACAGGGTGAAAAACCCTCCGGTCGGGCTCCTCAAGAAGGCATGCAAAGTGCATGCTCCAGGACTTTCCTAAATTGCCTAAAATATGCTCAAAATGATGGCTGACATCACCATTTTGGGCTCATATCTGTCATCCAAATTTTAAAAGGGACCAAAAAGAACCCAATAGCACATTGCCGCCATGCCACCCCTGTTGTCTAAGGGCAGTTCTTGTGTCTGGCACGCTGGCCTTGCTCACGCAATCCTGTCTTGCGGCCTCCCAAGCTTCCTGGGCTTCTTAAAAGAAAGTTCCAGTGAGAGTGTGGGAAGTGATTGTGACCTGCAGCCAAAAGCCTGGAGAAGGAGCCACAGCACAGATCCGCTTGGGGAGCGGGGGCGAGGGGGTGGGCAGAATCTATTTCTTCTTTGGGCTCTGCTCCCCCTTTCCCTCTCTCAAAGGCATGTGCCTTAGATTTATTTGGGAATAAATCTACAGGCGTACCGGAAATTCCATCTGAGCACAAACATGAACAACCTTACGAGAAATGGGAAATTTTTGTTCAAATCAAGTTTAACTATCGGGACCAAAAAGCCTCTCCTTGTGTTTCAGCCACGGTCGAGAAAGGTCCTCCGCTCGTCTGAGCATCCGCCGGGATCGACCATTAGCTGTGCACTTGAACCTGGGCCAGAAAGGGTAACTGCCGCTTTCCTTGACCCGCTTTGTTGAAGGAGGAGCGGCTGCCATCCTGTGAGATTTGCTAACCTGGTCTTTTTCCTTTTGTTTCGTTCACAGTGCCCGGAAGACAGCTTGGTAAGAGAGCGGCGAGCTCGTTAATGGCTCTATTCCGTGCTCGGAAGTGCAGCTCAGATTGGTCACGGCCTAGTCCCTCATCCTCAGTAACGTTCTCTTCTTTATGCTCCGTTTTTTCTTACAGCCCCATAAAAATAAATCAGTTTGAAGGGCACTTTATGAAGCTCCAGGCTGACTCCAACTACCTGCTCTCCAAGGAATACGAGGTACGATTGGGATGCAGCGAAGCTTTGACACCTCCTAGTTCTCCCCGGACTCTTCCTCCAGAAGCCCTGCCTGGCTGACCGGGCTCAGGAGCTGGAAAGATGTCCAGTCTCGGCTGAGTGCCCTTCCATGCCAGCCTCCATTCCCGCACACTATACCACTTCGTCCCGGAGGCCAGTTTAAACGCCAGGGTAGCTCGGCAGAGTGCTCCAACGACGGCCTGGCGGTAAAGAAGTGACACATTCGAAAGAGTGTCAGTTCCTCAGGCTGGCCGTTTCCTTGACGCAGGAAACTGGGACTTGGGATTTGCTTTCCTCTTTCGTCAAGTTAGTGAGCCTCTCTGACCCGCATCTCTTTACCTGTAAAATGGAAATTAGGATCCCTCCCTTTGGGACTGCTGTGACGAGCCGAGCTTCTGTCCATCAAACATATACCGGAGCTCCCATCTGCCCTCATCATGATGACCGCCTAGGGAACTCCATGATGGAGATCGACTGGCCGTGCAGGGTCACGATGAGTCAGAGCTGACCTGGCAGCACATAACCACACACTGCTACTATTTTTATATTATTATTGAGTACTAAGTTCATATTCTTCTACTTGCAAACGTGTTTTTTACTTAACAGGACTTAAAGGACGTGGGTCGAAACCAGTCATGTGACATCGCACTCTTGCCAGAGAACAGAGGGAAAAATCGATATAACAATATATTGCCCTGTAAGTTTTCTGTTGAAATGTGGACTACTGCCTTCCACGAGCCTTTTCTGGGGCTAAAGAAATATAGTATAGCTGGATACAGAAAAGCTCTGACTCTTAATGCCTTCAAAAAAGGAATGATTTGTATTTTATTGCACTCCCTCCACCTGAAAGTCTGGTTATGAGAGGCTGCTGACATTTCACCATGTGGTCCTGTTGCTCCCCCCACCCCCCAGTGGAGGTTTCATGGAAGTAACGGGTTACAGCAAGGGCTCCAGTGTACTTGGCCTTGGACTTGATTAACAAAACCTCTAGTTTGTCATTATTCTTTTTTTTATCATCCTTAGTGTATTGGGGAAAGCAATAGGAGGTAGTTTCTCTGGATTTTTTTCCAGCAGTGAAAGGAAGCTGGCCATTCCAGCAGACAATTGGTTGGTCGGTCAGTCGGTCCAGGGGATAGGAGAACCACCCCCAAGAGTCAGTGACAAATTTCTCTCACAAACTTTCTTCCAGATGACGCTTCACGGGTGAAACTGTCTAACGTGGATGACGACCCTTGCTCCGACTACATCAATGCCAGCTACATCCCTGTAAGTGGACCCCTGAGCCACACTAGCTGGGGATGGAGCTTGGCGGGTGGCTACACTGGAACGCCTTTCCAACTGTATGTTCCTACTTCTCACTGAACCATCTAGCTACAGGTTTTCAAAGACCATGTCTTTTGCTTTCAGGCCAGCAGGACCTGATTACCATAAAATGTGAACATCTACTGAACTCACTGCGAAGGTCCATTTGTCACCCTAGATGTAGCCATACCACATCATAAATAGGCCAGGATGAATTTTCAGGGGTCATTTTGTCCCTCTGCTGCTCTAAGTTAAGATCAGAGCTCTCCAAGGAAGCAGGATGAGGCACTGTTGGTTCTGTGGTAGAAATCTCACGACTCGTTTGGGAAACAGCAACATGACTTCAAGCCGCAGGCAACACCTCACATTCCATCACTGAGTCAGCGGGGGTGTGCACGCCGCCATGAGGTTGAATAGGTCTACTTCCAAGAGACTCTTATGCATTATAATATCACATTCTCTCATCTACAACCAACTGCTCACTTAGGCATGGAATCACCATGACTCAGGGCCCCCCACCCGATGGCAGCTGGTAACCACAACCCATCAAGTCCTCTAATGTCTTGCACCAACACCATCTTAGTTGAGGTTTTTAAAACCCTTAACACAACTCAAAGTTTGAGTTAGACCCCTGGGCTCTGATTCCAGCTAGGTTCTAACTAACTTCCAGTAGCACACAATGAAAAGGACTTTAAAGTCAAACATCTGGATTTTAATTCTACCTCTGCCTCTTGCTGACCCTGTGCCACCTCTCTGAATCTTTGTTTCCTATTTCAAAAATTTAGGTTAGAACTATTGACTTGTATGATATGTGGATTATGTGTCAATAGCTGTAAAAAAATTGTTTATATCACTCACCCATTCACTTTGATGGCACAGTGGTTACATGTTGGGCTGCTACACCAAGGTCAGCAGTTTGAACCCACCAAACATGAGGCTTTCTACTCCTGTAAAGAGTTGTAGTCCCTATTGTGCAACTCTCCGTGTGATTGAACTATTGAGTTGCATGATATGCGAATACAGGCAGTAAAACTGTTGGGGGGATAAAAGGTTACAGTCTTGGAAACTCACAGGAGCAGTTCTTCCCTGCCTATCGTGTCTCTATGAACTGGCATCAGCTCGATGTCAGAGGTTTGTTTTGAGTTTTGAGCTCTAAAAGTCCAGCACTGAGCTGTGTGTAGGGATAATGCTGTACAAAAGAATTCTCCGAGGAACTGATACAGGGAAATGACAAGGCCACACCACAAGGAACAAGGCCGAGCAGAGATTCTCCAGCATTAATATCCACAGTCACTGTCTGCAGAGCTTGTTTAAATGCAGATTCTAACCTAGGGGGTTGGGGATATTGATGATCCCAATATTGTTGGTCTGAGGACCAAGAGGTGAGAGGTTGCCATGGGAGCACCGGGGAGGGGACTCTCACCCTGCAATAGAGAAAGAAGGCTCTGCAGAGCAGGCAACATTCTGCCTGCTTGGGTGATACATAAACATTAGCGAGAGGAAAGAGTGTGGGTGGTGGGTGGGGGTTGGCAGAAGTGACATAATTACAGAGGCCCTGAGAAGAGGTAAGAAGAGAAAGGGCTTTGAGTAGAATCTACAAATTTTTGCCAGAATGCAGAGTGAGTGGGTGACAGGAACACCTACTCATTGGTTAGGATTTTGAAAATCTGCAAAAGGGCCACTGCATGTTATATGGTTGTTATTGTGGTTGCTGTTAGCCATCACCGACTTGGCCCCAAGTCATGGCAAAACCCTATGCATAGTGGGATTCTGAACCCTCCCATGAGCAGCAGAGGAGGTGATGTTGGGATCCAGAGGGTCTTCACCACTTGATTTGGGGGAGAAGTAAAGTACCCAGCATTTCGTCTTAGTCTGTCTTAGTTTGGAAACTCTGCTAAAGCCTTTCTAGCATGAGGTTCCTTGGCTTGGAGTTGAACTTGGGTCTTCTGTATGAAAAGCAAGAATTCTATCCCTGAACCATCAATGTCCCCAATCATATAGTAGATGCTCAAAAAGCAGTGGTTATTCTAGTATTATATCATTATTACAATAACAATATTCTATTACCAGCCATACAAAATTACTAAAATTCTTCTACATTAAATAGGGAGAAAACCTGCTCAAGCCATTCCTTCAGTGCGCGCGCACGCACACTTGTCCACAGCCTCCATTTGCATCCTAGAATAGAGCCAGCCTAATTAAAAGGAATTTGGCTTTTAACAATAGCTCAGCCCTGTGGCCTTTGTCCTTCCTGCTCCCAAACGCTGACCCTGTGTGAAGGTCATTTTCTCAAGTCCAGGGCCTGGGAGAGGCCTCCATATCCTCTAATCTGCAGCGCTGTTTGTTTATAGCTCCTAAGAGCTCCATTGTTTCTGACACTCCGTATTGAAAATTCATTGCAGGGCAACAACTTCAGAAGAGAATACATCGCCACTCAAGGGCCACTTCCTGGCACCAAGGATGACTTCTGGAAAATGGCGTGGGAACAGAACGTTCACAACATCGTCATGGTGACCCAGTGTGTCGAAAAGGGCCGAGTGAGTAAACAACCTCCTGGGCTTGAGATTTTGCCTTCCGCCCCCTGGTGGGATTCAATCCCATTGTCAACCGCTAAACTCTATGCAAAGCAATACTTGTGAGAACCTTGTTAAGGAATCAGCTATTTAGTTAGGAAAGGCTTTTACCATAAATCCCGGGTCTGGTTCTGATTCTGGTTCCGAAGTTTCCGTCAAAGATGTTTCCAAGAGTGGAATGAAGTTAGTGGACGTGTCATCTTGCTTCCTCCTTCGGCCTATGGCTAGCAGAAAGACGTAGCCCATGGCCAAGCCCTGCTTTGAGAAGAAAAGTGAATTTGGCTTCTGGGGAAATTAAGCATGCTTCTTGTAATGAATGCTCGGGGTAATCGGCTACTTTAATGGGTTACTCAGGATTAAAAGAGAGATGACATGTAAAATGCACAGGGTCTGTGCTCAATACATTTATGTCCCATCTTCATGCATGTAAAGAGAGTTCTAGTGGCACTGTCAGATAAGCACTGGAAGGCTGACCCCAAGGTAGACAGTTCAAACCCAGCACCTGCTTCCTGCAGGAGGAAAATGAGGCAGTCTGCTCCGGTCCAGAGCAACAACCTCAGAAACCCTACCCGGAGCTGCTATGAGTCGGAATGGGTTCAATGGCACTAGGTTGGGTGCACGTAAACGCAGCCTAGCTAAGTGTTCGGACTTCTCAACTGGCCCTTGGCCCTTGGTCTAGGCTAAGACATTGACATCACAATACGAACAAGACAGGGCCAATCAGACAATGACTTCCACTTACCAACTAGATCCTTTTCAGAAAGAGTGACACATTTTAAGACGGGGTGTATGTGTTAGTCGACCTGAACTACTGAGAAAGTCCATAAAAATACTCAGGTGGTATCAGACGGCTCATGAGAAGAAGCGAAGGGAACAGAAAGGTTGGGGATTTTACTTGTGTCACCAGCTGCTCTGTGCTCCTTCCCTTGGAGTGGCCACTCGGCTTCAGCCCTGGCCATGAACGGGTTAATAAGCAGATGGCCAAATGATATTAGCAATAGATTCAGGAAGACATTTCGAGGAGGGAAAGTCCAGGTTCACAAAGGAGTCATGTTTCCGGTCTCACGGGTTTTTTTTTTTTTCTATCTCCCTTCCTCCTCTAGGTCAAGTGTGACCATTACTGGCCAGCAGACCAGGATGCCCTCTACTACGGAGACCTCATCCTGCAAATGCTCTCGGAATCTGTGCTGCCAGAGTGGACCATCAGGGAGTTTAAGATATGCAGTGTACGTGCGTGGGACTGCATTCAACAAACCTGCTGGGAGAGATTTGTGAATCCCAGTTTTGCTGGTTCCTATCCTGGACCTTCGGGCTGTAGAATTCCTGCAAGGGCACAGTGGGCATGGTAGAAGGTGTGCCTTGAGTCATTCGGCTTACCCGTCTGTCTACTTTCTGCTCCTGCAGGAGGAACAGCTTGATGCCCACAAACTCATCCGTCACTTCCATTACACTGTGTGGCCAGATCACGGAGTCCCCGAGACCACCCAGTCCCTTATCCAGTTTGTGAGAACCGTCAGAGACTACATCAACCGGACCCCAGGCGCTGGGCCAACCGTGGTGCACTGCAGGTACTCAGCAGACTGGGCGCCAATAAAAATGGCAGCCATACAGGGTCTCCTGTGTTTGCTGTGTCCAGGAGACTGAGGGAGAAAAAAGGCATGGAGAATCTGGTGGGGGGAAGGTTTGTCTAGTCCACCCAGTCTCTTAGCCCCAGACATCCTGTCACGATGGCCGTGAGTATCCATCCCTCAAGGCCCCTGCTCCCCTTCCTCCAGCTCTGGGAGCACTCCCGTCTGTGGTACCTGATGGCGCTCTCTCCTTTGTCTCTCCTGCGTGTTTCCGTGTGTGACGTCCTCCCCTCGCCCCTGCCAGATTGTACGCGTATTGAGTTGGTCCCCCAGGTCACACAGCAGAGAAGGCGACTACAGGGCCGTGCTTAGCACAACACTCCTGACTTCACTAATGGAATCCTTCTTATGGGGATCCTTCCTGCCCACCCCCACCCCCAGTTCTCATTTGACTTTTTCTCTGCTTTTCAAAGTTTTCCTTTCAAAGTGATCTCAAAGTGTTGAGGGTCAAGGGTAGAGGGGAGGGGATCCAGGTCAGATGAACCCTGAGGCATGGAACCCGCTACTTCCCCACTGCCATCCAGTCACTTCGGGCTCAGAGTGGCCCTCTATCGGATTTCCAAGGCTTTACATCTTTACAGGAGCAGGCAGTCAGTCTTATCTTTCTCTTCCAAGAGGCCCATGGATTTGAACCTACCTCACCTTGTGGTCAGCGGTGAACAGCACCACCAGGGCTCCATTAGGCAGATTTTCTTTAAGGTGGAGGAGAGGGGAGGTATCTGTAAATCAATTGGGTGCCAGGTTGCTTCTATGATTTATCTCCAGTTCTACTGGAGAGGCTTACTTCGCATTCTTTACCTCAGACGTATGCGGCAAAATCAGTGTAACAATCTCAATCTCTCTCTCTTTCTCTCTACCCAGCCCCCCATCCTCTCCCCTTCTTTCCCTTGCCTCTACCACTGCCACACCCCCCCTCGCTGGGAAGTCTGGTATTTAGCCAATTAATGTGGCAGCACCACTTGGATAGCCATAACGAAAGAGCACTAATAAATACAGAGCCTGGAATTGCTACCATAAGAGAAATGTCAGATGCACTCATTTTCTCCCAATCAGCCAAACACCCTAGGAGCCCTGCTTTTAGGTCTTCAGAACCCTGGTGATGATTTTAATAGGGCTGTGAAACGCTCAGTGGTGTCATGTGTGCTGAAGAATGGCAGGCATGTTCACCCAGCACCACCGGAGAGCTGATTTTCTTTTATCTTATAAATGTGTGCATCCACACTCCCCCGAGCATACAGCCACTTCCTGGAGCAATTTCACAATAGCTAGTGAAGCTGAAAGTGCCCAGACCTTATGCCCCAGCAGGGCCGCTTCTAGCTACCGATCCCAGAGACAACCTTCACGCATCTGCACCATGATGTTCCTCACAACTCGTACAAACAGAGAGAAGCTGGAGACCCTCACGGTCTGTCCATCGGGAATGAATTCACCATGGTTTATGTACTCTAACGAGAAGCTAAAGTTAGAGTGGCCCAAGGATGACACCCGGCCTAAATCGCTAAACACGGGGGTCATTAGGGTCCCGTCCAGTTGGCAAAAGGGAATGTAAAACCTGCTGCCCTTTGAGTGAAGTTTTGAAAGGTGTACAATCAATAGATTGGGTAGGAAAAGTGCAAGGCCGTGCATGGAAATGATCCTCAAGGCTGACACGCTCTCCCCGCTGAGAAGAAGGTTAGGGGGAGACGGGAGGAGAAGGCGACAGAGAGTAAAGGTGCTGTGCTTATTTTCTAAGAGGGAGAGTGTACTGAGAGAAAGGTATATCCCTGGGCCTCCCCAGAAGAGGGCAGGAAGAGTGTGATTGTGCAGGGTGCATGGCCAGGGTGCCTTCGGAGGTAAAACGAAGAGCAAAAGGCTGACTCTTCCCTCACCTTCCCTTCCAGCGCCGGTGTGGGGAGGACTGGGACATTCATTGCGTTGGACCGGATCCTCCAGCAACTGGACTCCAAAGACTCTGTGGACATCTACGGAGCGGTCAACGACCTCCGGCTCCACAGGGTTCACATGGTGCAGACCGAGGTGAGAGGTACTGCCTGAAGGGCACAGACCCCTCCTTCCCAGAAGTCCTGAGAAGGCCAAAGAATGGTGCCACATATCAGACAGAGAGCCAGAGGAGTGAATCCCGGGGGTTGACAGGGCGTAGTTTACAGGAGGCTCCAAGTCAGGGAGGATGCTGTTGACACTAATCCATGCTGAGCTGGCTGCTCTGTGACTGTAGGTGGTCAGAGCTGTTTGAGCTGTGTGTGTGTGTTCAAGGAGATGTGTAAAACACACCATTGGCCCTTTTGTACATGTACAACACAGTGACACTCATTGGCATCACCGTGTTGTGTGACCATTACCACTAGCTATCAGTTTTCAATTTTTTCAAAGATGGATTTTAAAAATCAATGCTTGATGGCCAGGGGAAATAACCAAGGCAGCCCGTCTTAGAGATCTTTGTAAGACAGGCTGGTAACTGAGCCCAAGAGCGTTCATTAGTAAACAGGAAGTGGATTGCAGCCTCTTCCCTACCCAGCACCCCTACCTCTAGAGATGATCAAGGATTCATGAGGGTGGGAAAGGAGCTGATACCAAGGGCTTATGTAGAAAGAAAATGTTTTGGAAATGTTGATGGCAGCATATGTACAAGAGTGCTTAATACTATTGAATTACGGATTGTTAGAAGATTTGTAAGAGCCCCCCAATAAAATGATTAATTTAAAAAACACTTCCATCTGTACAGCATGTGGACATGTGCAGGGCACTTTAATACATGCCTTCTCATTGTCCACCATAACCAGATAAAGGAGGTCTCACTTCCCATTTGACAGGTTGGAAAACAGGTTCCAAGAGGGAAGGGTTTCTTCACAAAGCCAGGTCTGAAGTGGCAGAGAGTCCCAGACCCTGAGCACCAGCCTGTGGCCCCACAGCCTCAGGGTTAGATTTGGGCACCACACTGTTTTGGACAAAGTTCCAAGACCCTCACAGGCCAGCCTAACCACCCTCAAGATCCCTTATGTTAAAGTAATGTTGTTTTGTTGCCCAAGTAACCCTGCAAAATCCTCTGTGAAAAAGATATTAAACAGATCTCTACAGTTGACAAAGTTGGAAAGTTTTACACCCTATGACATGGCCCTTAAAGGGAAAAGTGCTGGTTTCTTGGTAAAAATTCCCACCTGCTCTCCGGGTGACCATGGTGGTGCTGTGGGGGAAGTTGCTAACTGCAAGGTCAGTGGTTGTGAGACCCAGCCACTCCATGGGCTAAAATGAGACTGCTCCCAGGAAGATTTACTGTCTTGGAAACCCTGAGAGGGTTGCTATGAATCAGAAACGGCTCGATGGTATTGGGGTGCAGGTGACTCGGTGGGGCTTGATACCCGGCCCATGTACCTCATGCACAGCCACCACCTATATGTCAGTGGAGACTTGTATGTTGCCATGAGTTTTAATAGGTTTCAATGGACTCCCAGTTTAAAAACAAACTAGACAGAAAGGCCTGGCAATCTACTTCCGAAAGATCAGCCAATGAAAGTCCCACAGAACACCATGATCTGCTCTACAAGGAAGCATGGCAGCTGCCCAGCGTCAGGAGGGTTTGTTCCATTGTGCCTGGGGTATCTGAGAGTCAGGGCAACTCAATGAGCGCTACTAACAAAAGTCTCAATGCACAGGAACCTGGCAAGCCTACAGTGCTCCACAAAATGTGTGTGTGTGGGGGGGGGAGGCGCCCTGCAGCAGAGGCTTCCTGTGAACCCACGAGTCCGCACACCAACGGAACGCCAGTCTCATGCTGCACCTCCTCGGGTCCTGTAGAACTCACGTTCTGAAGCACGGGCTTTGGAAAGCACGGCCCTCGTTGCTCCCTTCAGGCTGTACCCACACCCAGTCTTGTCTGCCTCTGCTACCGTCCTGGGCTGGGAGGGCTTGCATTATACCAATTATATATATATACCAATTATTGCAACACACTTAAAAAATCTTTCATTGTGGATATTTTTTGGTGTGGATATTTTTAATGTATAATACTATCAGAATTATATCCACCGAAGGGACCTTTACCCGTGTTTAAGAAAATGATGCAAAATTAAAGATTCAGCTTTTCAGACCTGCGAACCACATTCAAATGTGACTTCCATTTTGGACTATGGGGGCTCGGGGCCACAAACACACAAATCCACAACAAAAGATCTCGCTGCTGCTGAGTGCATTTTGACTCAGGATGAGCCCCGACTGTCCATCAGAACAAAACTGTCCTCCACGGGGTTTCCATTGACTGCGTTTTCAAAAGTAGATCCTCAGGCCCATAACTGAAATCACCCCTCCCTAGTCTTGAACTTCCAACCTCAGTCAGCAGCTAAGAGCACTAACCATTTGTACCACTCAAGGACTCCCAGCTTTAGGGCACGGGTCAACCCCTCCCACCCCCTCACCCCCAACAACAACCACCTGAAACGAGAGAGAATGCTATCGGGGGCTGTAGTCAGTGTGGACACTCACAGCGAGCGGCCCCATGCACAAGAGAACGTAACACGGTGTGCTCCTGTGTGTAAGTCCCTTGTTGCTGTCTCGTGTCAGTCCAACTTCGGGACCTTCCTGTTTGTCAATGCCCCTCTACTTTACCATGTGTGAGACAATAGCTAATCAACCTGCCTGTCCCCAAGCACTAACTTTTACAATGATCAGCACTCTCTGTTCTTTATTTTAAAAGATCTAGATACGACTATATTGTTTACCATATCCTCTGACTCCATTAGAATGTTCTAAATCCTTTCCTAATTACCACATCCATAAATAGTTCTGCATATATCTCTTACAGATAAGGACTCTTTTTAAAAAATTTTGAACACAATGCTATTATTACACCTAACAAGTTTAACTATAATTCTCTAGTATCATCTAGAGTACAATTGAAGCTCATATACCCCTAATTATCTCAAAAATTACTTTTTACAGTTTGTGTGAATTAGTATTCAAACTAGCTTTAAAATTTGAATTAGAATCCAAACAAGGTCGACTCATAGCCTTTTGTGGATGTACATTTTAAATCTCTTTTCATTAGCATAATGCTCCTCCTACTGCTTTTCCACACCACTGACTTGTTAGAGTGGCCCGTTCATTGGTTCTGTAGAGCTGCCACGCTCTGGCCGTGGCTGATGGTGTTTTCATAGCTGTGACAGAATCCTCTAGTCCCTACAGGTGGGCTGGTTGTCGGCGGACATTGAGGCTGCACGTGCAGTGGTGCAAAGTGCTACCTGGCCCCGCCCCCACCCCCTGATACATTGCATTTGGACCATTGAGATCCACAGCATTTTCTTTGGTTGACTTTCAGAAGTAGAAAGTCTGAAACCTGTTCAATGTATCATAACATTGTACTAGCTCCACTGCAAGGGGAGGTTCTGTGGCCGAACCACCAATGGGCGGTTAGATCTCGAGTCCTTAAATTCAGATGCCATTTTATGAGCACAGCGCCTCACCGGGGGACACTGAGGACTCGCTGGTGCAGCACATCAGGAGGCACCTTGTGTCTGTGTCTCTTTAGTGCTGATGAGTGTGATACTGACTTCAGGGTGTCAAGGAGCCCTGGGGACACCGTTGGGCAAGAAGCACTAGACGACTAATGGTTCAAGCTCACCTGTCACTCTGACGGGTTCCATACAAATTACAGCCGCAGAAACCCCGAACCGGGTTCTAAGCGTCCGAATTGACTCAACAGTAGTATCTTCTTTTTTAAAAAAATTTGAATCAAGAGATGTCAACTTGAACCACCAGTTATAGTCCTCCCTATCAACCTCTCACTTGACAGTTTTAGCAGCCATTGATAATCACTACCTAGAGCTGTTTTATTTCCATTTGGGGTTATAGAATTATATTACACTATATGTCATAATTGTTTTCTATCCATTTTCTCTATCAAAGAACATTGGGCCATGTTTTCTTTTCTTTCTTTTTTTTTTTTTTTTTGGTTTGGATCTTTTTTTAATCATTTTATTGAGGGGCGGCTCTTACAAATCTTGTAACAATCTGTCATTCAATATTAAGCACACTTGTACATATGTTGCCATCAACATTTCCAAAACAATTTCTTTCTACTTGAGCCTTTGGTATCAGTAACTCTATTCTCCCCTCCCTCCCCCATTCGCCCACCCATGTGAATCCTTGATCAATTATAGATTGCTGTTATTTGGGGTCTTACACTGTCCATTATCTCCCTTCACGCACCCTTCCACTCCAACCACTATTTAGTTTTGGGGTTTTTTGTTTCTTTATTTTGAGGTACATAAAGGAATCTGGAGGGATTTTTTCTTTAAAGAAGCATAGGCTATATATTTATGCAGCTCATCTCGAGAAATGAAATCAACAACAATATCCTATTAAATCCTCCAAATAGGTGTTTGTTTGTCCCCCTCCGCCCCACCCCTCCCCTCCTCATTCCCGCCGCACTCCATTCTTGGCTGCTGCTAAGTCCCATTGAGTCTCTTTCAACTCACCACCACCCTGCGTACTGCGGAAGGAAACACTGCCCAGTCGGCACCATGCTCACACTGGTTAATGTGGTCTTCCTCTTTTCCCCTGACCCACCACTTTACTAAGTACGTCATCCCTTTCTAGGGACCGGCTCTGCTGACATGACTGCGGCGTATGAGGCAAACTCTCACCATCCTCGATTCTAAGGAGCAGTCTAACTGCTCTTCTTTCCAGATAGAGGCACGTATTCTGGCAGCCCAAACTTTCACTACTCATCACCAACACTGTAATTCAAATGCAAAGTTCCCTCTCTGAAGTGGATACTCTGACAGCAACCTTGGACAGCTCCCCACTGGTTGTGAACCCACGTTCAAACCCTCATTCATGTAATGAAGCTCCTATCGCCTGACCTCATTTTCTCAAATTCATGTCATGCCATCAGCCCACACACTCTATTTTAGGGTCTTCCAAAATAAAAGATCTCCCTCTCTCAGAATCAAATTTGATTCTTTGGATCATAATGGAATAAATATTATAGTCTGATAGAAATTTTCTTTCCCATTTTTATTCTATCACACACAAGGCAAACAATATCTGGATATTATCTGTCTTGCTTTTAGCCATCCACCCAAGTTGCACTTCTACAATCTCAGAAGTCCTCAGCCCCAGCGCTAGCGTGGCTCATTGCCATGAAAATACATGGACAGGAATTTGATTCCCAGGCAAGCCTCAGTGAGTCACTGTTCTAGTAAAGGGCAAGGACATGTGTCCCCTTTTTATTATGTTGGGTCTAAATGATGTTAGACCTCAGTGTCACTTTTCTGTGTCCATGATGATGGTAGACCCGAATTTTATTCTCCCTTGTTTAGGACACAAAGGGATATGGGTCTTCACAATTTTGATAAATATATCAAAGAGCCAGTATATCTACATAAAGACACTTTAGACATGGGATCTGCAAGATGACCCATTCCCTTTTTTTAGCCTCTCTGGAGACAAATTTGTAGCCTGCCTCTGAGAGGGTCATCACCCAGCCCCATATTAAAAAGAACAATGAACAGTAGTCTCCATCGGTTACTCTTCTCTGCTTTCCAGAGAAAAAAAGCACTTGATGTTGTACAGCTCAGGACCCCAGCATGTTACAATTGTCCCGGGGATTTCCCTTGACTCACACCTCTAATTTGAATCACACTCAGCTTTTCACAGTTTGCAGAATATAGGTACCTTTCATGTGATTTCCATCCTTTGGAATGTCCTATTTGTTTACTGATAGTGTTAGAGCTAACACCTTTTCTCTCTAGTTGATGTTTCCCATCCCTGTGTGAAGCTATGCACACAAATTTGTCTTACATTCATCACATTGTAGGATTTGCACACATCTCCCCTCCTCGGTTAAATGGTGCATTAAAGGACCACAAAAGTCTATCACTACTAAATGGTACTATATTCAAGAGGGCCTCAAAAAGTTCATGGAAAAATGGAATTAAAAGATAATGACATTTTTCCATGAAAAAATACTGTCATGAATGAGGTTCACAGAGCAGGTCATAATTTTGCATTCAACAATTCATGCACATTCTGATTCAACTCATCAATTGCAATACATTTAATATACCTCCACTTAAGTTACAATATTAAAAAATTTAAGGGAAAAATATTTAATGATGCAAGAAGCATCAAAATATGAAAAGAATCCACAGTCACTATACCAAAAAGAATCCATTAACATTCAACCATTTCAAGAGATAGCATAATGAGTAAGAATCAATGGTACTGAAGGAAGGAGTTCAAGATGCACAGAAATCATTAGCCAAAAAGAAGGCTCCAGGAATGGGTGGAAAAATGGTTCAACAAGCTGATGAAGCACTGGGAGCACTCACTCCTCTGTGCCAGGAAATCTATAGGACAGGTACTTGGCCCACTGACTGGAAGAGATCCAAGTTTGTGCCCCAGAACACCCACATTATAAAACAATAGCATGAGTATCACAGGCAAGTAAAATGTGGCTGAAAATCACCCAACCATTTCAGCAGTACATCTAGCCAGAGGCTTGGGCTAGATTCACAAATGGACAATAATATCATTGCTAATATCAGATGGATCTTGGTTAAAAGCAGAAAATACCAGAAAGGTGTTTACTTGTCTCTTATTGACTATGTCAAAGCATTTGGTTGTGAAGATCATAGCAAACTATAGGTGACCTTGAGAAAAGTGGGAATTCCAGAACACTTCACTATGCACATGCAGAACCTATGCGTGAAGCCAGAGACAGTTGTATGAACAGAAGAACGGAATACTTTATGCTTTAAATCAGGAAAGGTGTGCATCAGGTTTGAATCCTCTCACCACACTTATTCAATCTGTATGCTGGGCAAATAATCAGAGATGCCAGATTATATGAAGAGGCGTGCCACATCAGGCTCGGAGGAAGGCTTATAATCAATCTGCAATATACAAATGGCAGAACCTTGCTTGTTGAAAGTGAGGAGGACTTGAAACACTTGCTGATGAAGATCAAGGATTGTAGCCTTAAGTGTGGATTATGAATCAATGTAAACAAAACCCAACTCTTCACAACTGACTGAGTAGTTAACATCATGCTAAACGGAGCAAGTATTGAAGCTGCCAAGGATTTCATCTTGCTTGGGTCCACATTCAAAGCTCAAGGACGCAGAGTTCAAGGGGTCAAATGGCATACCGCATTGAGCAAATCAGCTGAAGAAGACCTCTTTATGGTCCTGACAAGCAAGGAGGTTACTTTGAGGACGAAAGTGCATCTGACTCAAGCCAGGGTATTTTTCATCAACTCCTGTGCATGTGAAAGTTGGACCTTGACTAAGAAGAATCGATGTGTTTGATCATGGTTGACAAAGAATATTGAAGGTGGCGTGGACTGCCGAAAGAACAAGCCAATCTGTCCTGAATAAAGCAAGGCCAGAGTGCTCCTGAAGCGTGGCAAGGCTTTATTCCTGTACTTCGGACATGTTATCAAGAGACCACTCCTGGAGCAGGCCATCGGAATCAGTAAGACAGAGAGGCAGTGACAAAAAGGGAGACCTTCAACAAGGTGGGCTGACAAAGTGGCTACAACAATGGGCTCAAATAGTAGAACTATGGTGAGGACGGTGCGGGATCAGGCGTGTGTCGCTCTGTTGTAGACAAGGCTGCTAACCGACTCAACAACACCTAACAAACCACAGCAATCTATGCAAATTACCATTCTCCAGAGTATGACCCTCCCATTTTCAAGGTTATTTTGCATAAAGCACTCATAACAAGTGAGCAGAAATAGAAAGAATTGTTACTAATGTCAATTCGCACATGACTTACGGTTGGTCTTTGATTATTTTTTTAATGTTCTAATCTAATGAAGTCTTAGAAGTAGAGGACCAGGCCTAGCTTCCCATCAGAGACAATGCATAGCACCGACCCATGACAATAAATACTTGTCCACTTTTAAAGATCATTGGCGAGGAAAGACCTTGTAGTCTCATGTTAAGATACTCTAAGTTTCACCACTTTAAGCACCTTAAACATTGGGCCTCAAATATTTTTCAACTTTTATCTGACAGTAACATAAAGTTTTATACGCCGAGAACTTTGGTTTCAATGAATATAGGATATTAGTTGTAGAGACCTTGGCCTCCTTGCTTTATAGATGGGTAACTGAGATATGCAGAAGCATCATGAGTCAGCTAATGCCAATTGGAGACAGGCCAAGAGCCCAGCCTCCCTTATATGGTGTCTTGTTCCCTCAGCTTTCCCACTTGCTCGGATCTGAGCTCGGATCTCACTATATATTAAGGAGAACAAAAACTTCCATTATCTTCTAATTCCCTTTTCCCACACACTTTTGTAAGTGCCCTCACATCTGCGTATATTTCCAAACAGCCGGCATAGGGATCTGTCCTCACTGTGTGCACTGAGAACCCTCTGCTGCTCTGTGCACTTCCATCAAAGTCTTTGATCGTCTTCCCCATGCCACATGCAAATGCCTAGAGAACCAAGAGGTGTAACACATTGACCTTGTACCCAAAGAACTATAGCCCAGTGCGGGTATTAGACACACGTTCTTGTTCTCGTTATCCTTAAAAGCGGGATGGTGGTGGGGAACACACAAAATAGCAAAGAATGCAGAGAAATTATTTTCTCATTCAATAATGCAGCAAAAATAGAATTCATCAAAGAAAAATGGGTATAGTGAAAAGAACATGAACTTTGAAGTCACACACCCAGTATGACGTCCTAGGGCCCCATTTCTTAGCTGGGTGACCATGGAGAAATACTTAACCTCGCTGAGTCTTCCTTTATAAGGATATTTGCACCTAATCCACAGGTTGTTGAGATAATTCATGCAGAGCACACAGTACAGTATTTGGTGTTCAATCAATATTTTGGGGGGCCTAGTCTAGACACGATGTTCTACTCATCTTTCCCACGTGCATGTCTGTCGATAAATATCATTTCTCTGTCCATTATCACGATTCTCTTCAATGGCAATACAAAGCAATCATTCTTTCACGTAACAGAGACCACTAGTAAAGTGATGGTCAGGAAATGGGCTTGCTCTGTCGAATCTCAAAACTCAAAAAGACGCTGCCCCATGAGATGGACTGGCCGGTGACTGCAAGCTTAGCCAGACCAGGCAACACTTTGTTCTACTGAACCGAGGAACTGGACCCACTGGACGGTGCTGAACACCACGGAGAAAGCCACCCCTGTTGGAGTTGTGTGGGAGTCCCTCATCTTCGCTGTCCTTGAACCCTCCTCTTGACGTGTTTTTTGTTTTTGTTTTTCCATAGTGCCAATATGTATATCTACATCAATGTGTGAGAGATGTTCTCAGAGCCAGAAAGCTACGGAGCGAACAAGAAAACCCCTTGTTTCCAATCTACGAAAATGTGAATCCAGAGTATCACAGAGGTAAGCGCTTACCCACTGACTGTTAAGTTCATTTGCCAAACACCAGCAGCCGAAGACACCATTCGTGCCCAGTGCTTCTACAGTGTACACCACACATCTCTTCTACCCGGGGCCTGAGAGAAAGAGGCCCCATCAAGAGGGCAACAGGGAAGAGCACAGATGTCAGGTGGTAGCCCTTCCTGCCGAGTCTAGGATGCCCTCTATTAAGGGCTCTGCCTAACATTTCCTTTCTAAACAATAAGCTCACTGCTAGGAGGGATGTTTTGAAATCACAATGGTAAAATCACAGTCGCTAATATGTTCTTATCTCGTGACCCAGGAGTTCTACTGCAATTCTAAGTGCTGAAAAAGCTTTTGCGTGAAGCTTTTTGCAGCTGAAAGTATGAGTGAATAAACTAAATAGCAACAGTAGGGGACGAACTACATCATGAAGTTGTCTCTTCATAAAAGACAGTCATTAGAAGTGACAATATTTAAGGAGACCATAGTAACACGGATATACTTATAAATAAGTTAAGCAAAAGAATCAGAATGTGAAACAAACGAAAACAAGACATAAGGGGGAAAGGGATTTTAAGGAAGTATACCAAGATAGTTTAGCAAATTTCCCCGAGCAATAGAAATACACAAGTGGATTTTTCAGTTTATGAAAAAATTCGGTTACCTTTTAATTCCATTCTCCAGGAACTCTTTGAAGTCCTCTCATATATGATATTTTCTTCTAGTTAAGGTGGCTAGTGGGCTATGTGTTGGGCTTCTAACTACAAGGTGGGCAGTTCAAAGCTCCCAGTTGTTTCTCAGGAGAAAGATGAGGCTAGCTGGACTCGAAGATTCGCAGCCTCAGAACCCAGAGGACGCAGTTCCACAGGGTCCTGTAGGGTTGCTGTGAGTCAGAATGGACTCGACAACAGTGGGTTTGCTTTGGACTGGGGTGTAGGAGACTACTTTGATCAGACGGTAATTACTTGACAAGAGAAGAGTCTTCCTGCCTTTTCCCACTCCGGTTCATTAGTAAGACCTAATTTATCACAAAAGATAATTGCATCAAAGGTACACTGTTGTGTGTTAGGCCAGGTTGAGGAGAGAAACAAAGCCAGTGATACCCATACGTGTGTAAGAAAGCATTCTATCAAGAAGTAATTGTATATCGGGAAAACATCCCAGCCCAGTCCAACTCAAGTCCGTAAGTCCCATACTAGTCCATAAGTCCCTCTGCAGACTCGCAGAGCCACAGACAATGATGTAGAATGCAGGAAGATCACAGGCCGGAGGGTGCAAAGTCCCATAGTGGTGCACGCACCTCCAGGGCTCTGGCACCTGTCCTGAAGGACTGCCAGCAGGAAGGTGAAGACAGAGAGGTGAGGGCAGGGGAGGTTCCCAGGACCCTCCTGCTGAGAAGGCCATGCCCACAAGGAGTCACCATCAAGCTGTGACCTGATTGACAGGCTAAACTCCATCACGACATGTTTGTATATTTTCAAGTAGACATGAAATTATGTAACTACCACAGAATTGTATTGTCATCTATTGCCTGAAATTTTACCTCCACATTTAGCAGCTTAAGTCTACAGTGGCCTATAGACTTTTCTAGGTTGTTTTCTGGCTAGGGTCTTTTCTAGGTTGTTTTCTGGCTAGGGTCGCATGAAGGTGTAGTCCAGACGTGGGCTGGGCTTACAGGTCTCTGAGGTGGTCTTTAAGGTGGTCACTCACACAGAGATTGGAAGGAGGCGTCAGTTTCTTACCATATAAACTGATATCTGTCTATAAATTAGAGTAGTTTGCTCAACAAACATTATTTCAAAACTGTTCTATGTCTCTTTCTGATTGATCTTCCCTTGTCAACGTATCCTGTCGGCTATGTTTTATGCAGTTCTCTGCACCCTCAATGCCCTCCCACCTAGGCAGTCAAATAAATAGCTACTAATCTGTAAAGCACAAATACATGAGAGAACCGCTATTTAAAGGGCTCCTTTGTAACCCACATAATCCTTTTGTACTGTAAATAAGTCCTCCCTAACATATCTGCATAGTAAATTAAGGTTTTCACCTGTCAGAAGCTTGAGGAAGCTTCAGGATAGAGGGACCTCTGGGAAATCTTGGAGATTCTTGGTGCTGTTTTGAGTTCATGGAAAGTCTTTTTTAGACCGTTCTTGGGTGTTCATAATGAAAATTAGCTATGATATAGTAAAAGATAACCAGCAAGCATTTGAAGGTTCAGAGTCAGCTCACAATTCCCGAACTGACTTGCAATAAATCCAAGCATTGCTTTGTCTCACTAGCCTGTAGCTTCATCTGCCAAACCAGGTCTGAGTCAGTGGTGGGAACAAAGGAGCACGGGGGAGAGGTGGGAGGTAGAGAGTGTGCGCGCGCGCACGGGGGCCGGCAGTATGGATGTCACATTAGTCTCTTTCACTAGCCTTTTTCGATTCGAATCATCTATGATTCTAAATAGAATGACGTGGTCCTCACAGGAATGATCTCATCCTACTGGGTTTTAGTTGTTTCTGATCATTTTTCCCATTTGTAAATTTAATAAAACAAACAACTATGCCACACCTTACTGCAATCTCTAATTACAGCGTCCTTCCTTTCAGATGCAATCTATCCAAGGCATTAAGAACGTACCCAAAGATCTCCTGGATAAAACACTATTCACTGTGGGATTTCCTTTGTTAATATAAAAAGCTTGCTTCATGCCGTAGAAAGGTGCAGGCTATTTCTGTTGATACTATGTATAATTTATTAATCTGGAGAATTTTAAAGAATTTATATAATTTAAAGTTAACATATATCATTGTACATTGTTGTATTTTGGCGTTCCTTCTGTAAATATGTATTTTTTCATAATGTTTAATATTAAGCTTTATATAATACAACTTTTCCACACTAAAGTGTTTATGGGTTGTTCTACATAAACCAACTTAACCGGCATGACAGGACGACTGGCAAATGTGTACCGGGGTGCAGAGACGATTCCTCAGGCCACGGTTTCACCGTTTGTATTCACGACCCAGGATAAAGGGCAGGGCTGGAGAGAACATAGACCATGACTGACTCAGCTGGACAGCTGGTCTAGGAAGCTGAAGGCACACAGAGTGTGCAGGTGTTGGTTGAATAAATAACATAACTGGAAAGGTTTAGGGGGAGGGAAATTGTAGGTAGCACCAAGGCTGAACTGGTGGTTACGTCTAAACCAGCGATTCTCTGACAAGCTCAAGCTATCAGCCCGAGGGTTCTCACCGCGTAGGAGCCATGCACAATTGACGTGGCTGGGGAAGACCGCCACGCAAAGCCACGCACAGCCATAGTTCAGAGAGGACAGCACTGCGCTCCTGTCAATATCCAAGGGTATAGTGGAGGACAGTCTGAGCACATCCACGAGTACATCCCCATTGTAATGTCAGTGTTGGCTTACATCCACTGATTCCTGCAAAAGTCAAAACCATTCCAGCCATATCTGATTCTCCCATTCAAATAAGACCACAGTGGCAGATTATGCTCCTGATCAAAAGATCTATTGCAATTGTTTAAGAAATGATCACAAACATTTTATATATGTATGTATATATATATATATATAATTTGATAAAATAAAAAATTAAAATTCGATGGTGCTCAGTTTAAAGTTTCTCTTAGTCTATAAGGTCAAAATGGCAAATAGTCACTTAACTAAATTGCACTTGCTATATTTAGAACTACTCTGCCATATTGATCTTAAACAAGGCTTATTTTGACGCTAACAGAGTCCAGAAAGTGGGCATTGCTTGCCTGCAGGTCCAGGCCCAGCTCCACTGGCTGCTGGGAAAAGTTCAAAGGTCTCTGTGTGGAACAGTCGTGGATACCTGCGAGGAGGAGCATGGATTCCTTTCCCTTTTCTCACTCCAAATTCTCTCTGATAAACTTAGTAATGCCAGATCAATTCTCTCTGATAAACTTAGTAATGCCAGATCAATTCTCTCTGATAAACTTAGTGATGCCAGATCAATTCTCTCTGATAAACTTAGTGATGCCAGTGTTGATTTCACCACTTCATTTTCAGAAAGAATGTATTTTGTTCAAAGTATGTATTTTTGTTACCTACCATAAGGTCCCATAAATAATAACTGATTTCTAAAGTAAGTTGGCAATCACTAAAATTCATCTAATACAGTTATATAGAGTTATATAGTCCTACACCCAAACCAGCAAAAATCCCACGGCTGCTTGAAGCTTATAATCACGAACAGAAAGAATAACAGTTTCAAAGTCATCAGTCTCTTTACGTGCAATGTGTGAGCAAACCAGGTGGATCTAGAAATGAAAAGGAACAACCTATGCACAAGTGAGGCAGGGGGACCAAAAAAGAGAAAATATAACAGGTGAGCGATTTATGAGCTATGGCATCTATTAGAAACAACTATTCATATATATATATAAAATCAAAACAAAACCATTTTGAACTCATGTTGCTGGGGCAAAGCATATGACTTCATGGAAGGAGGAATTCATTTTCAACATGTCATTCTCAGCCCTGTTGCAGAAACTACGCATTTCTACTAGGAGAGAGAGAACACTGTTCCCCTAGGAGAAACACTGTTAGGATTGCTGTTGCTGCTGTCAATTGAGCTTCAAAGAGTGCTTCCGGGAGGCAATGAGCTAACTGAGCCAGCAGAGTGGCGGCTCCTGGGCCCCACATGGTGCATGTTGATACTACTTCAGGAAAATACTGCAGCTAAAAGAGACAGCAATTAATTGCACAAACCAGAATGAAAACGACTTAAAAACTTACACATAGATAATAGTAAATAATGCCTATGTTCCTTGGCAAGTCTCATGGGTAGAATCCAAGTTATGAAGGTAATTGTGACACAGGGAAAACAGTAGGCTCTTTGAGTCTAATCTACGAAACACTTATCATTTCAGAACACCTGTCTGATTTTAAATATTCCTTCACATACTTCTTGGCAACAAATATTTCACTATTGTCCCTAAGAAGAGGAACTACATAATCTAGTTGATCAATTCATTGCGTTTGGGAGGGAAAAAGGAGGGAGGGTTTCCTTGACATTCAGCTCCATTGGGTGCATTCTAATTGGACCCATCAAGTGCTACTTCTTGGTAAACATTCCATTTCCTGGGGGGGAGCATCTTGTCTCTACACCTGCACCATGCACTTGAATCATCAAAGCATCAAAGTACTTCTGAACTATCAAATGCTAGGAGAGTCCCATCTTGCATCTTAATAACTATTTATCCAAGTTCTCTATAATTAACTTCTTTAATCTCCTCTCATTAAATAAATTTCTTATTATCATTCTGTTGTTCTCTGGATAGAGGCCAATTCTCCGGGTTTTTAAATAAAATATTTCAAAGACTCACCTCCCTGTCTTGACTTGCACATATTTGCCCTAAGTAACTATTCATTTCTTAACACCTGAGTCCTCTTTATTATGCGCCCCTCTTCTGCCTATTGAATGTTTGCTTTCCCAGTCAATTATGATTTTATTTTCAGTTCATCTTATCTCTTAGGTTGGATGGTATAATGGTATAACTTTATAGTCTTTTCAGGTCCCAAACTACACAAGTGATGACATGACTCCACTTTTAAACACTAAAACGGTATAGCTCACAGACATTCTGGAGGCAGTTTTATTTGGAAGGTGTTTTTGTTGTTCCTTCTTGAAAGAAAGTCGGAAGGAGATAATATGCAGCCAGTAAGCACAATACAAAACCCACCCCACATGTTACACCTCACATTCTGCTTCTCTTGCGTTGGTGCCCTAAGAATCCTGCTTCTTTTTTTTTCAAACAGTTTTATTTGCATATAATTCACATACAATGCAATCATTTAATTATATTAAGAAGGCTTGTACAATCATCACCACAATCAGTTTTAGGACATTTTCTTCTTACTCATTGTTATTAGCTCCCTATTCCCCACAGCCTTCCCTGAACCACTCTTCTTCCAATACAGTTCTTGGTTTCCATTCTAAATGCTCATTTATCTAGCTTCCTTGGAGTTCTGAGGTTGGGATCCTGAAATCATAAAAACTACCCACCATGACAGTAATGGCATGAGTTGAGCCCTAACTCTGAAGTGCTCAAGAAAGTCTTTCATTCACACACATTAGCCAGACTAAATCAAACTTGATGCAAACCAGTAGTTCATAAGTTACTGGTTCAAGGACTTTCCAGATTCCATTTCCTTGAGGAGTTGAAAGTTGACTGGCCAAGAAAAAGACTTCTTTTCCCCCAAATGGCAGTTAACAAAACCTCAACCCTACCCCATTCCTGAGGAGTCAAAGCAGAAGGTGTCTGAGCTGTTCACGTGCCTTCTACACTCTGAGTATTTTGTACCTGAGATGTAGAATCACACCACGTACTCAAAGTAGGTTTTATATCAAAGAAAAATCTATAAACCAGCACTGCAGAAAGCAAGTGAAGTGATACAAAGGAGAATTTTGAAAAGGGATCTAAACGAAACACTTATTGTCTTAAGTGTCTCAGACATAGTGCCTCTGGGGGCATTCACGTTCACTACATTGGCCAAATGGTTTCGTGGATTAAACAATGGAATTGATCAATTTAGTTCTGTGAATTTACCAGTGGGTTGGCTAAATTAGGAACCTTGGTGGCACAATGGTTAAGCACCCAGCTATCCGCCAAAAGGTCAGTGGTTCAAACCCACCAGTCGCTCTGCTGGAGAAAGATGGGACAGTCTGTTCTATGAAGATTTACAGACTTCTAAACGCTATGACGCAATTCTAGACTGTTCTATGTGTTTGCTATGAGTCAGAATCGACCTAACAGCAGTGGGTTTGGTTGGTTGGGGTTGGCTACGTTTACTGGGTTTGATCCTAAAAACACAGCCTTAGATTCTTATAGTGGATGATGCCTTTGAAAATATATGGCCATTTTAGTTAAATTGCAAATAACATTTGATGGAGTCATGATAACAGTAAAAATTGGTTCTAAAATTGTTTCTAGCAATAAAAATAACTTTCGTTAAAGAAATATTCTTGGCTTGCTGGAGGATCCTTGTGAAAATGTATACAAAAATGAGGCATTTTATTTTTTGAAATATTTCCTATATAGAGATATATTCATTAAATAAGATAACTGTTGGTGAGTGCTCCTAAAATAGAGGTTTATGTGGTGGAGAATAAAGGTTTATGAACAGAGTTACCAGAGCTTATTTTTATAACCTATCTGCCAATTTGTGTGGTTTTATATAAGATACCAAAATTAATTATGCAAACTGAATAATGTCAGACAAAAAGCAATTTGTCCCTTCTAGAAAATTCACAACAAAAAAGATTGTTTATGGCTGCTTTGTACCTCCAGCAATTTCTTTTAAAAAATGAACAAAACAAAACGATTCTTGCCCTAACAGCAAGAATCTGCTCAAAGTATTGTGTTTTAATAGCTGTGTGAATGGATATGCGTCCATTAGCAGGAAGTACATGCAGTTGTGGCTTAATGAGTTGACAGCAAAGTCAGACAGTGTTCTTGCCACAGCCTAGCAGGAGAGTCTGCATTGACCTTCATGGCATTCCTGGTCCTGGCCACACCAACAAGAGAGAATACCAAGACTCTTACTTAAAGAGTACTTGAAGACTCCTGACCTGCCATGCTAGGTCCATCAGGCTTTAAGATCTTCAAGGACAAGAGCCAGGTCTTTAATCTCTTCTCCACTCCTACCTTGTCAAGACTGGTGCACAGAACACAGACAGGTACCGTATACCAATTGAGTGAAAATTGCCTGGCATTTTGGATGCAAGGCAGTCTATTGTTCATGGAAGTTCATCTGGCTGTTCCTTGTGAAGCTTAAATAGTGTAAATCAATCAAGAAACTAAATTTAATATGTTCAATAATAGAGCACTTTTGTTTTATAATATCATGTATCCTTTT